TTTTTCAAGCAGGGAAACCCTTCACGGGTATTCTCAGTTGTCTTTCTCCTTTTCACATGCTATATGGAGCCTTTAATGGTGGGGTCTTGCCCTTGAGGCTCTTCATCTACTGTCCCCATACAAAATGTCAGGATACTCTTTAACTGCACTCACGTCTGTAACAATCGCAGGGTTTTCTCTACACCCTGCTTATCCGGGACTTTAAATTACTACACTCCTTACCCATGTACATATTTTTCATACCTTTTGTTCTATCTGTGCCCTCTCCCACTATAAACGTGGACTAGAGGAGTGAGTAGTAGCCATGACACAGCCTGAATGCCGTGCTGTCTTGAAACATCCTCCCCCAAGCCAATTAGTCCACTGCTCCTTAAGTCAGTCTCCCTCTAGTTCTCAGGAAATGGGCCAAGTGGATTCACATTGCTTTCTAGAATATAACATAAACAGCTTCTAGCTCAATTCCCAAGAGTCCCTGATACCCTCTGAAATCTTACTAGGTCTTTAATGTCCACATCTCTATGAGTATTCTGAATGGTCCATTAAGTTCTGCTTACATAGTTTCTCTAGCCTGAAGTTCTAAATGCTCCCCCATCCCTCCTGCAAACCAGTTCTAAAGCCTACCAAACACATGATCAGGTTTATCACAGCAACAGTCCCACTTCCTAGTACTAATTTCTGTGTTAGTGACTTTTCTCATCACTGTGACTAAGGTGATATTGGGGGAAGGAAGGTGTATGTTCTGCTCATGGTGGGAGGCAGGGCACCGCAATGAGAACGGCTCTAACTGGTGGCAGGGGTGTGAGGTGCATCTGTGGTCAGAAAGCAGAACAGGACAAATGCGGGTGCTGAAGCTGCTTCTGTCTTTATTTAGTCCAGAACCTCGACCCCTGCAAATAGGAGCACTTAACACTTGTGTGTGTCTTCCCTCCTTGGTTAAACCTAAATGTCTTTACAGACTTCCCAGCACACTATCCCCTAGTTGACTCAAAATTCAATCTATTGACAACAAAGACTCACTATTACAAGTTCCAACAGGTAACAAACATTTGAATTTGTTCCACTTTTTCTACATCTTCTGTCCATGCTAATCTGTGTCTACAGACCTTCCCTCCCTCTTCAGGCAATGGTTCTCTACTGGGTCATGTATTAAAATCAAATGGTTAACATTTGAGGGCTCGGCATGATGGCACACACCTGAAATTCCAGCATTTGAGAGGCTGAGACAGAAAGGTCCTGAGTTCTAGACCAGCCTGATGTGGCTGAGTGCAACACCAACTCAGGCTTCTCAGAAATGCTGAATCACTGCCCAGCAAGCCTATGGCCAGCAGTGAACAGGAGACACAAGCAGGAAGACTGCAAATGGAAGGCAGCCTGGGTATACAGTGAGCTCTGAGTTAGCCGGGACTATCTGAGACCCTGTCAGGACAAACGGGAAGGGAAGGGAAGGGGAAATTAAAGAGAAAGGAAAGAGGAAAGGAAAGGAAGGAGAGAGGGGAGGGGGAGAGAAGAGGGAAGATAAGAAAGGGAAAGGTGGAGAGGAAAAAGGATCAAAATCTACATTTACTAAAATCTCCAGGTAGCTTGTTTCTATAGTCACACTGAACTGAAGATTAGGACAACCAGGGATGCTTTACAGGAAAGACAGACAGACAGACCAGCCATACATTTCTGGGTTCCTAGTCCTCACTACCAAAGATTCTGACTTTAATTAGGCTTGTTTGCAACCTGGCTCATACCTAACTTCACTGAGAAGAATTTACCAAAGGCAGGTAATGTTGTCCACCAACACAGAAAGTAGCCTCACTGATGGGTTTCCAGAATTAGACAAAAATTAAGAGGCCTACAAGATCAGAAGTCAGCACACTTCCTCTGTAAAGGGCTATACATGGGTGTTTTAATCCCATGAGATGTGCACTGGTTATCATAATTATTCCTCCTTGTCATAAATATAAAACTAAAAAAAAATAAGAGTACAGCTGTGTTCCAATTAAACTTGACCTGAAAATAAATAAAAAATAAAAGCAAGGAACTAGATTTAGCCTGTGAGCCATAGTGAGCAATAAGAGTGGCTTTCTAACTGGCTGCTGGCTTCTCTGATAACAGATCTAGAGTTGGGGCCAAGGCTCTGTAGGTCCAAGAAGTTTACAGGTGATGCTAATGCTGCTGAGCCAGGGACCGCTATTTATGATCAGGGTCTCTGACGTAGATATAAACTCACAGAGACTGAGGCAGCACGCACAAAGCCTGCCCAGGCCCAGGCCAGATGGGGTCCCAGTGCTAAGAGGGGGAAGTGGGCATGAACTCTCATCTTTAACCATGAAGCTAGTTCCAGCCAGTGGCAGCGGTGCACACCTTTCATTCCAGCACTTGAAAGGCAGAGGCAGGCAGATCTCTGAAATCAAGTCCAGCCTGGTCTACAGGGCTACACACAGAAACCCTGTCTTGAAAAGGAAAGAAGGAAAGGAAAGGAAAGGAAAGGAAAGGAAAGGAAAGGAAAGGAAAGGAAAGCTGATACAGATGTCAAACAAATGAAGACCAATTTACTACAAATATATACAAATGTCACAATAAGGTGTTTAAGACTATGGTAGACACTTTTATATACAGAGGCTACCAACAACACTCCATGCCTACAGAAGCATGCCACTGTACAACCAAGAGTTAGACTTTATTCTCTTATCTTGAATTTGACCTGACTGTGAATCCTGCTTTGACCAAAAGATTGCAGCAGAAGAGGAAACAATGTGACTTTTAGACCTTGGTCTCAAGAAATAAGAAGTGCTAGACACCCAGCCAACGCCAGCCAGTGTTTGTACCAGACATGTTGACTCCTCTAGCCACAGACAAGCCACTCAGCCAGAACCAAGAGCAGAGGCTTGCTGGCCACTTCCACATCCTGTCCAATAAACTAGAGTGTATCTATTTCTAAGGTACCAAGTACTGGCAGTGGTGGTCAAATGCTGCAAGATACTGCCAGTCACACACATGATATTGATGGTTATATTTCATAAAAATCTTAAAAGCTGTAAGTCACTTGATTAGGTTTAGGTTTCCGGCTGCTGAGTTCTCTTTTGATGCTGTGTTATGACTTCCTCTGCTAGCCGAGTTAAGAAAGGAATTTTTCCTTTGGCAAAGATATATTCCTTCATCTCTCTGTGTTTCCATTTTGAATCTTTTTAGTCCCAACTCACTACCACTGCTTGTCATTATTTCTCACATTGTTTTTCTAACAGTGACAGTGTACACAGCTGAGTCCTCAGCACCATTGCCCTGTGCTAGATAATTCTATTACAGTAAATTGATCGTTATATCAGTTGTTACTTCTTGGTATCTTTACCTGGCCTGTGATGACGGCTAACCCAAGCATTTCCTGGTAATATTTCATTTTTTCTTATATTTAGTTATTGAAAAAGTTATATAAGCAAGTGAAACTAAATAAGCATATTAAACCTTCTTAGGAAGACTACAGGTTTATAGTCTCAAAATCCTCTTTGAAAATTCTACTTCATAATCATACATGCAAATAATACTAGACTCACTAAAGTGATATAATAATTTGTTTTCTTTATTAAATAATTTTTTATATTTCAATATAAGTATTTACAACATCTGAACATAGAACGGTATGTTCATACATATAAACACTATTACCAACTTCAGGACCTTATATCATGCATTTCATATGCATTTCATAAGACCTGCTAAGCAAGTCTATCCACACCACACTGAAGAACTTTTTATTAATTACACTCAGAAGACAAATACAGTAGTTCTAAATTATCTCCCTTGACATAAATCTTTTTATCTGAAAAGGCTATTAAATAAATTAATCAATGTTAACAAATGACTCATATAATATTTCAACTCCAAGGAACTATTTCATACCAAAAAGATGTATAGGTAAACAGATGCACATATAGATATGTATGCTCTAAGCTTCTGCAACATAAGATAAGAAACAACACCCCAGGCTGGAGAGATGGCTCACTGGTTAAGATCACTGGCTGCTCTTACAGAGGACCTGAGTTTAATTCCCAGCATCCACATGGCAGCTTTATAACCGTCTGTGACTCCAGTTCCAGGGGATATTACACCTTTACACCAATGAACATAAAGTTAAATAAATTAAAAAAAGAAAGAAAAGAAACAGTGTCCTTCCATGAGACTGGACACAACACCAGAAGAAGCAACCACTTACGTGATTACCAAGTAGGAGCTAAAGTCAAAATACCTTCTAGGACTGCAAAAATTATATTATGAAATTAGACTGCTATGTCAGGATCTGTTCAGGGCTGGAGAAATGGCTCAGTGGTTAAGAGCACTGGATCCCTCTCCAGAGGACCCAGATTTGATTCCCAGCATACACACAGTGGTTTATAACCATTATATAGCTCCAGTTCCAGGGGATCTGATGCCTTCTTCTGACCTCTGCAGGTATCAGACATATACATATATGTAGACAAAACACTCACACATATAAAATACAAAAGAAAATAGATACATCTTTTTAAGGCAGAGTTGCACATGTCAATTTTGAAACAGCTAACTACAACTAATTTTGTGTGTGTGTGTGTGTGTATATACATATATAAAACTTTAACCACAATAAGACCAAGCCACCCCCCTCCAAAATAAACTACACAGAACTCAAATTGAAAAAATAACTTGAATGGATATTATTTTATGATATTAAGTTTATTATTAGGAGTATCATTTTCTTCAGTGGTATAGCCATTGGTAAATTGTACATGCCCCAGTAAATAACTATGGCTCATACAGCAATGCTCATTTCAAACTCAGTGGAAAAAAAGACTTACTATACTAGAACTAGAAAAGAAGAAAGCAAGTTCACTTTCCTTCTTCCCCAACATACATACATATGGTGTTTCTATTTCCCACCCAATATAAAGCCCAATCAAGGCATCAAATCAGTAATCCCATAAAAGACTGCCACTCAGGAGTGTCAACAGTCATGGCATCACCTACTGACTGATACTTACTGTGTGAAAATTTATCATTTCTTGAAGACTGTCAGAAAACTTGGTCAAACTTGTCTGTAAGGAAAAAAAAAAAAACAAAGGAAAATCAAGTCACTTAAGAGCTACTAAAATAAGTCACAAAAATATTGCTTAGCATTTCGGACAGAAAAATCAAATTATCCTGTAAACAATAACGTTTACTTTGAAGGACAATCTCAAGGGCTCACTGGACATGCTCTGCAGAGGTCATGTCTACCACAAATCTACATGTGGTAACATGTTAAGGCCTAGAAATATCAAAGAATTAGAACTATCCCATCTACAACATATATAATCTTTAAGGTTTGACAGCATCAATAGTGAATGCCCCTGTTAGCAACTATGATCAAATCATTATCAAAACATACCTGTTTCTTCATGATTTAGTTTTCATCATGAAAGAAATATCAGTAGCACTACACTGATCAGTACTACTATACTAAGGGATATAGGTTAGCTCAGGACCACAGGCTAGCCAGAAACTATACAGCAACAAGCAGACAGGTGGGTCCTGTTCTGAGGAGGCTAACATTCTGCTCACCATACAATCGATTACTGGTGACTGTTTCTGCTCTGGACCACTGGCCCCTTTAGCTCACCTTTCTAAATACAAACTTAAATGCTGTGAAGCAAGCTTAGGGCGGTGATGCTAAATATGCATACAACAAATCAAACTTTAATATTTAACTATCTTAAAAGGCAGAATTGTGGAATATGGCTGGCTCCAAGGAATGGCAGCCCTTGTACTATGGTTAAATTCACTATGACCATTACTAGGTAGATTTATGCATCATCATTTGACTTTTTGTTACACTCATCACTTTACCTGTCACTTTAGTGATACCAACCTCAACTACAGCGTCATTACTAGAATACTGTGCCAGATCTCGAATCCCATTCATGAACTGTTTATTTGCAAAACAGAAGGCTTTGCCAGTATCAATCATTGCAATACAAAGCTTCACGAGCTGAAAACGAAGAAAGACAAGGTCAGAAGGGAAAAGACCATACAAGTGCCTTTAGTGGAACAAGTGTTAGCAGTTACTACGTGAGCTAGCCTACTCAGTGTAAGTCTTATTTCATCAAAAACTAGAACGTACTTTAAGAAATTTTCCTTTGCCTTAGGTTACTCCTGTTAAATTCACAGGAATAATTGTACCAAAAAGTCGACCTTTAGGACCCAGAAGCTGTGTGACAGCAACATACCATCCCTTTTTAATCACGCCAAATTCAAATCCATAATTTAAGCCCATAAGTATTTATTAAATCCTCCTAGAAAAGAGGCTGGGGATGGAGCTCAGTGGCAGAGCACTTGCATCACACATGAAAACACACACACACACACACACACACACACACACACACACACACACACACACAGAGAGAGAGAGGGAGAGAGAGAGAGAGAGAGAGAGAGAGAGAGAGAGAGAATGCCCTAGAAGAAAGAGAAGGGTAAGTGGGCAGCAGTGTGATAAAAATATAACTAAACTTACACTGGAGTAAAGGTGCATAAACTGGTATTTTAAGTTTTCCATGCTGCCCACCTATCATTCATCAAAACAGGTGCATGAAATATTAATCAGCCTCTTCTGGAAACTACCAGGAGAAGAAGTATTTCTCCAGTGCCTTGCTAGGCATTGATTACAGCCTCAGGACTGAGCCTTCATCACCTTTCCCGCTTCCTTCCCTCCCTCCCCACTTGTGTCTTCATTGTGATTCATCCAAGTGACACAAGAGTGTGAGACATGCATGCAATATAATAAAATACACAGACAAAGACAGTGCTGGGGTGTGGCTGAGCGGTAGAGGTTTCCTAGCATGCAACAGGCTCATATTCAATCCCTGACACCCAAAACAAAGACAGACAGATTAATAGCATCCAAAGCATATTGAGAAAAAAATCAGATTTTTTAAAAGTACTAATGTTTCAATAAAAATACATATATATTCTTCTGCATGCTTAGGAATTTTCTTCAAGAACTTATAAGAAAGTAGGTCAGAGTACTCCTCTAGCAAAGGGATCAGATGGTGAGCAACTTTCACTGGGTACACTTCTATCTTTGAATTTTGATCTCTGTAGGTAATGTTACTCAACAAATTAAATATCAAAAATAAAAATAATTAAATTAAAATGAAAGGCTGATAGTATAGCAAGATTAAAACAGGATTTCAGCTCAATCTATTTAACTTCAAATCCTAATACCATCTAAGTGGGTCTAGGTGACCTGAGTCTTAACAAACTTACATGCCTACCTGTATAATCACAGCAATGGTGGTACTAACCTACGGGATGCTGGTATCAAGAGACACCACACAAAAACACCTCAGCAAAGCGACCACAGGTGTGTGGGAATTACTCAGCAGAGGGTCTGTTTCCTTGTCAGCAAGCTTCTTCACTGCCACTTGCTTCTGTTTTGCTTTATGCGACAGGAAAGGAGAGACTAAATCGCCCCACTAGACATGCTCAGGATGATGCTGGGGACGAAACCAGGGATAAGATGACAGTCCTCCAGTGACACAGCAGGAAGAACTCTCCCTCGCCACGTCAGGACAGCAAGTCACCCACAACTATACTCAGGGTTCAAAAAGAAATTTCTAAAGAACTACAGCAAGTCACCCACAACTATACTCAGGGTTCAAAAAGAAATTTCTAAAGAACTACAGCAAGTCACCCACAACTATACTCAGGGTTCAAAAAGAAATTTCTAAAGAACTAAGGAGTGAGGAGAATCCAGGGAGACCCCAGAATCCAAAGATATGGGATCCCATATGCCTCGATCGAGTCTTAACATTTAATTATGCAGTGAGTAAGAAAATGATGGCCAGACTTCCAGACTAGACAACACCTGCCAGCGACAACTTCAGGGTGAGTATGTGCTCTGTGGTCACCACTGGGAGCCAAACTGCCTGCCAGGCAGATGATAAGACACTTTCTAACAAAGGCAGACTGAGAAGTCTGCAAAATTCCACACAGTGGACCGGTCATTTGTTTGTGAAAGGTTTCACACCCAGGCCACCTAAAAGAACATCAAAAAGTCTACACAAGGACTAAGGCATGTATCTGTGAGGTGTATAGGAAGTCATTCGTCTGTGCCACCGACTTAAAGAAACCCAAAAGGGTTCATTCACATCAATGAAAGACCGATTCCATGCCACATGTGTGACAAAGCCAACAAACACGAGTCTCACCTCAAAGACCATGACAGGAGACACCGGGGTAAAGCCTTTTGTGTGTGGCTGCTGCACCTAGGCATTTGCCAAGAGCCATGAGAAAAATATGCACAGTAAAAGAAAGTGGTCACCGATAGTGCCACCCAGAGTGAGCTGAATGGGTGCAGGAAGTAGCAACAGACCCTGAAACAGAGCAGCAGCTGGAGATGATCACCTGTGGCTGTGACAGGTCAGGAACACTTGTCCAGCAGGCAGGATACTAAGGTTGTAGAGACTGCAATCACAGAATACCTACAACCACTTTTGTGACAACTTACGGAGTGCTGTGCTGGCTGGACCTACGGCAGTGCTCAAGTTAGGAGTCCTTAAAACTTCCCAGGGCAATTCTGTTACTATGTCCTCACCAGTTTCAGGACCAAGCTCCCTGCCCTTCTTTCTCGTGTTTTTTTTATTTCAAAACTCCTGTTTGAAATAAACTCTTGTCTACAGCAAGCAACCTCTGTCCCAGTCTTAATTCCTCTATGCTTGCCAGGCTCGTGAGTGCCTGGAACAAAGTGGTTTCCCAATCTTCTCAATGTATGTGACTTATAGTCAGAACAGCATTTTGATAACTGAATAAAAGTACTTCATTCCGAAGCAGAAAATGTTGGTGGGTGACAGCCAAGAACACTGCGCACGGGTGGAGGTCTTATATTTGGTCTGATTTCTTTTTCATATCACAGTTTTTCACTGTTTCTGAGAACAAAGGATGAAGGCTTGGCTGGAATGGCTCTTCATCATTATGATCAGCCCTGAACCCACCTCACAGACTGCAGGTCATGTAGTACGTACGGTAGGACTGGTGGGTTAGGGATGAGGTCTGAGAGTCTTCTCTTGTGCAGTGTTGCCACTAGCCACCAGCAGGTATTTGTGGGGTGGACCAGCACGAGGGGAGAAGACAGGGTTTTCGTGCTCAGATACATGGTCTTGAAGATGTAAAAGTCCAAAGATTTTCTGTCAAAAATCTTACTGATTCCAAAACTAGTTTGTATTTAAGATCCAAATTAGGACAAGAAACAGAAATGTGTGGGCAGATGTGCCTGTAGTTTACAGACCATATAATTCACACACAGAGAAGATGCAGTGTGTGTACTTAAATCATCGAAAACCCTGTAAGTGTATAACAGCAGTGTTGGTCTTAATGATTCCAGGGAAAAGACAGCAGCGTACTTTTTTGGATTACATCCTGTAAGCAGTAGTGAACTCTGTAGGTACTATTGAGTTATTCTAGGATTTACATACTTGTAGAAAATACCAACTTCAACATTCTAGTTTGGTTCTTAAGAGTTCTCTTTTTAAAACATATTAATTTCATTTTATTAAAAGAATCTAAGCCAGCAGGGGGGAGATTTTGGTACATGCCTTTAATCCCAGCACTTGGGAGGCAGAGGCAGGCAGATCTCTGTGAGTTTGAGGTCAGCCTGGTCTGCAGAGCGGGTTTCAGGACAGCCAAAGCTACACAGAGAAATCCTGTCTACCGAGGCTGAGAGCCAAGGAGATGGAGACATCAGACAGCGGGATATGAACACTCTAGAGCTCAGAGACTACAGTCAAGAGGTGAGACAGAGACTATGGCCACAGACACATGTGACAGAATTAGCACAAAGTCCCCATCACAGGAGAATTTTAGCTGCCCAAGAGGAAGGGTTGGTTTGGTGATGTAGAAAAAGGGCAGAGATTTTTGCCTATTAAATGGCAGGGATGGATAAAAATATAACTTCGTAATGAAAAAGAGAGTTTTTAACCTAAATGAATATCAACTTGGTCTAAAACGTCAAGCTGGTAGCCTAACTCATTCATCCAACTATAGGCATTTGCCCACTGACAGGAGCACAAACAACTCATTGCCTAGTAAGTTAGTAATATCCTCTCTCTCTCTCTCTCTCTCTCTCTCTCTCTCTCTCTCTTTTTCCCTCCTCTTTTCTCCTTTTTTTTTTTTTTTTTTTTTTTCTTTTTTTTTTTCTCTTTTTTTTCTCCCTCTCTCCCTCCCTATTCTCCATCTCCTCCTTTCCCCCTCCCCTATGTTTAGCTGAGGATAAACCCATCTTTGCAGCACTGTAGTGAAGCTCAGAAATAAGTAAACACAGGGCATTGTGCCCAGTAAGTGCAAGGCCAGCAGAGTTTCTTTTGTTCCTCTGCTGTTTAAGACTGTCCACATCTCCCAGGAGCTGTCTGTTGCTATTCTGGTTTATTTAGAATTTACTGTGTTGGGGCTGAAGGGATGGCTCGGCAGTTGAGAACACTGGCTTCTATTCCAGAGAGCCTGAGTTCAATTCCCAGCACCCACATGGCAGCTCACAGCCTTCTGTACCTCCAGATAAAAATAAAGAGCATTCACCAGGCATGCCCAAGAGCACTTTACCTATGGTAAAACAGCTCATGTCATTCTTATAACACCTCTGTGAGACAGACAGATACTCTTACTTTCTCTAGTTTGAAAGATAAGAAGCCAAGGCCCAGAAACACTGAGGAGTTTGCCCAATACTATGTAGCTTACAGTTACATGATAGAGCCTTGTACAAAACCAGGCAGTTCCAGGCTCGGCTACAAAATAAAAATTATAATACTGTAGTAGTTTAAGTGAAAGGGCATTCAAGAAATGATACAATGCAAGAAAAAAAAAAAAAGGCCCATTTGATGGAAATCAACGCGAGATTTAAAGGGATCTACATTACAGACAGGTACCAAGCACACCAAAGAAAAGATGCAGTGGACGCATCAGATTTAGATGGCAACCATGAGACACTGTGAAGTCGCAAACACCACAACACCTTGCAGAATGGATAACCCATTCTGGACCCATGAACACCACCACTCTGGAAACACTATTCACAAGACAGAATTCAACTACTGGTAGCATATAATACATGCGAATAAACATGCAATAAATAATAAACATAATACATGCAAAATAAACATGAACTAAGTCATCAAGCAAGCTTAGTTTGTCACTGGTATGATTTACAACGATACCATAAGCAGAACTTGGCCCGCACAATGTTATGGAACCTGTGACCTGAAGGCACCACCCCCATAAGTTCTTCATGTTGCCACCTTCTATAAACAGCATTCCTGTGTGCCTCACAATCTACTCTCTAACGTACAGCCCCAAGAAGACAATAGCTTAAGAATTTGGACAGGCACACTTATTTTATGAGGAATCACGATCTTAACCCACAGAAACATCGGGAGAAACTACAGATCTTAGAGAAGACATGCAAGGGTCAGGGAACAATATTTTAAACACTGTTGAGTTTTCATACACTGAGTCCCCTTTGGTTAAGAAAGACTCTAGAATTCCGGTATTTTGATAATTTCATATTCCAAGGTTCTTCAGTTTAAGATTGGCTGAAACAGGATCTGCACCACCCCGCCAAAAGATTCCCAGGTGATGCCTATGTGCCAAAAAGTCTGAAAAGACTAGTCTACCCAGCAATAGCATTTAACCGTAGAGCAGGAAATCACTGTCAGGAGAGGTATTTAATCTATGTATACACCTGTCTCCAGTAATCTGGAGAGATGTATTTCTCATTCGAATGCTTCTGCCTGGTACACAGCAGAAAATGCTTCATGGACACACATCCAAAAACCATCATCAGTAACAAGAGAGAAGATGGGAATCAGCGCTTGTTTACCCTTACGTAAAATATAATTGCATAACTTTTAAGTATTCTAAGCTATTTTAACTAATTCTAGAATTAGTTAAAAATGGAATGGACAGGCCGGGCATTGGTGGCGCATGCCTTTAATCCCAGCACTCAGGAGGCAGAGGCAGGCAGATCTCTGTGAGTTCGAGGCCAGCCTAGTCTCCAGAGCAAGTGCCAGGATAGGCTCCAAAGCTACACAGAGAAACCCTGACTTGAAAAAAAACATGGAATGGACTGTTTAAATTCTATTTGTATATGAACCTGAGTACACCTAAATTTATAACAATGATCACCAGGTTATATATAAAATCCATTAAGTATCAAAAATGGTAAATGAGATCTTTGTATGGGGAAGACAGAAACCAACAGCTAATGAAATAAAGGAAGCTCTGTGATTTCTGAAGTCAGTTGTGGACACAGCCCTTGTTCTGACAATTAACTGAACAGGCAAGCTACTGCATGTCTCCAGCCTTCGTTTCCTCATGTGTCAAATCAGGATGACAGCACCTACTCACGCAGCATCACAAGTGAAATAAACCAACTCCTACTGCAGGCACTAACTGTTCATTATGGATAAGAATTAATGTTTTTCAAAGTTTACCTTATCAAGTTTTAGTTCCAGCTCTGCCACATCACCCTCTACTTCTTCCAAAGCAGCCCTAGGAAAATTGAATATAAAGTAAGTTAGTTCATTTCTTTAAAGACATACTTCACTCTTGAAAAATAATTTCTCACTCTAAGTGAAGACACAGGCATGAATATTTTAAAATTATCTTTTATGTAAACGTAATGATCATGCAATGTCACAAATAATAGTTTAAGCCAATAAAAGAATACTTTAGGCTATGTATTTTAACATTTATTTTAATTACTTGTAGTTACGGGTGTCTGCATGTAGTTATATGCACAAATACACAAGGATCCACAGAGGCCAGAGGTACCATATCCCCTGAGGCTGGAGCTGAGACAGTTGAGGCTTCTGATGCCATGTGGGGAACTGAACCCGGGTCCTCCAGAAGAAGAGCAAGTGGTCTTGATGCCAAGCCACCTTGCCATCCCCAGGATAAGTTATTTTTAGTCACTAATACAACTCAAATTAATAACAGTACTCTGATCTGTTTTGTGTGGTTTTTAAAATGAATTAAGAGTATGTAAGCAAACGATACCAGAAAAACATAGAAAGGATACTAATCAAATAAAATCATTCAAAAGCCTACTTTCAAACAAAAAAGCAAACATTTTAATAGTTGAGCCTTAACTGACTCTGATTAGTAGACAGCGAAGTATATGAAACGAAAGAGCAAGACAATCAAAGGGGCTTTTACTATGAGAAATAACTCATAATTTTTCTCCTATCAATATAATTTTAATATGGAAAAATCAGCAAAGATTAGGTCATACAAAGAGAAGTATACAGTAAGCCAGACGCTCTTAACCACAAAGAGAAAGCAACTGAGGTCACCATAAGGCCATACTCCAGAAGTGGAAATGTTTAAAATAAAACAGCTGCAATGAAAAGATTTTACGCTAAAAAATGGTATGTAATAAAGCATAAGTTACGTATGCTCTCTGTGTGTGCTGGCAACAGGATCCAAAGCCTCGGGCATACCAAGACATTCCACCACAGAGCTCCAGCCATAGTCCCCATGCCATTTCCATGCACCTACTTAATGTCCTAGCCATTTTCCATTATTTTAAGAACTCAAAAAAATTTGTTTTAATTGAATAGTAATGGGAGACTACCTTCCTCTCTCAAGCAATGGACTAAACAAAACACGGCCAGGATATAAACCCTATTTCCTATTTCCATAAATACCTTGGGTGACCTTTGAATACTTTATCAGCTGCATCTAAGGACACACATTTTCAAAGCTTTTAACTCTCCAAAATTTAAAAGGACTGTAAGTTATTCAGTAAGCATGTGTCATTATAAATGAGATCTTCTTGCATATGCTTCAAGAACATAGGAGGCAGGCGGCAAAACGCAGTACAGAAGCTAGAATACTTCTTCCCAGCCGACAGCTGGCCACTGCCTTCACACTACTGTGTTCCCTCTGTCTCGAAACTATAATCCTCACCCCTTCACCTATACATCATTCAATTCACTTCACACCTGAGAGCAAACAAATATATCTCTAGAAGGATACTGTAATTGACTGAAAACTAAGATGTCCAATAATCAGAAAAATCTAGACAAATGATTGTGTTCTAAGATAGCATGGGCAACACCCTCATCTCAAACTAAATAAACAAATGAAGTTCATCTTACTGACAAGGAAATAAGTGCATGAAGTTAAATTATTACACAATAAGGATAATGTAATCCCCCCCCAAAAAAAACAAAAAAACAAAAAACATTGAGACACATGAGAAATTGTCTGTGCGCAGACTTGCCAGTCTGAACTACATACAATGCCGAAGAACCCAGACTGGAGAGCAGGCATGGTAAAGAAGGATTTGCATTCTAAGTACACCCCTGGCTTAGTTCAGCATTCAACAATGGTACATTTTATTCAGACAACTCCTCAAAAGTGGCTCCCCTTGGGACTTGTCCCATCAATCACCCGGGCTGAACCCCGAAGCATGTGGTGCTCATCTCTGCCACTATCCACTGACAGTCTGAGCTGCCCCCAGCAGTGCAGACACTCAGATCTGCGGAGTCCAGGAGCAAGCACAGTAACTCTGCTTCTCGGGAACTTGATTTCCATTTTAACCTTTACCTTAACTCAATTCTCAAATTATTATTTGTTAAAATGAGCCAAGCTAGATTTGATTAAATCACGGGTGTCTACTAAGCATTCAATCTTCTTTCACTGTGCAATCCTACACAGTTATCTATAAAATGCATGGAAGTGTTAAGGCTGGTGCTGGTACAGTGTTCTGAGTCCCAACCACTGAGCCTATCTCCAAGGAGGTGGACAGCTTTCCTGAGGGTGACACTCAACAACACTGTCCTCCAGCCTACACACACACACACACACACACACACACACACACACGAAAACACACAAGCAAACACACGTGTATGCATGTGTTCCTACATTTATGAACAAACACACACATTCCCTCACACACATGCACATGCTCCCCCACACACATGCTCCCACTTTTTAAAACAATCAAACTTGGTCTGTAGCTCAAGGGTAAAGTTGTTTGCTAGGAAGTATAAGTAGGGACCCTGGGTTCCATCTCAAACATAGACAGCTAAACAAAAAGCAAACACAGCTTTTTTTTTTTTTTTCTTAACAAGGCTACTCACCTCTTTACACTCTCTCTCTCTTTCTTTCTCTCACCCTCTTGTTTTATTATTAGTTTTTAATGTTGCTAGGCTAGGGGGATTATGTGTGGTAGGTATTGAACAAAGGGCCAGTGCATGCCAGATTTGTCATTTCACCACTGATCTACAGTCTTGGCCTCTATAGCTGTTAAAAAGAAAAGAGAAGATAGACAACAGCTTTTACATTTTCATTATGTTCATTTACTGTGCGTGTGCACACATGTGTGCAAATGTGTGCACATAAAGTTGGCTGTGGTGAAATACTGTAATCCCAGCACTCAGAAGGCTAAAACTAAGGGTTTCAGATTCAAGGTCAGCCTGGCTACCTGCTTTTTTTTTTTTTTTTTTTTTAAGGCAAAGCAACAACACCACCCTTCATTTCAACTTTGGCAATATCCTTTCAATGGATTAGTCAAACTAGGTCACACATTATGCAATGAAAAGGGCAGGAACAAGATATTCAAGATCACTAATAAGCACACAAATGTCCTCCAGCAATTAAAGGCAGACTGGCAACTCCAAGTCTTGACTACCTGCTGGGGAGTTATCAAACATAAAGTAATGATAAATACTCAAAACACTGCACAGGGCTGTGATGCAGCTCATTAAGTACTTCACTATCACGAGCAAGGCCCTGGATGTGATCCCACCATACACACACACACACACACACACACACACACACACACACACGTACAAAAACAGTTACACATGTATGTATGTATTCATGCATATTATGTGCAAAATTTGAAAATAGCTCTATTCCAACAAATTATACACATACAGAATAAGCGTTTATCTTCTAAAGAACTGCTGTGTGTCATGGTTAAATATCATCCCCAGCCAACTTCCTCTTTGAACTCAACAGCCCTTTCCAACTTGAACAACACTGGACTATTTTTTCAAAGAAAGAACAATGGCCAGGTCAAGGACAGCCCACTGATCCAAAGGCAAGAGTAACACAAAGTTCCCACAGCAAGACACAGCCCGTGACAGTGAGCATAAACCCTGGAAAGCCATTTCTTAAAAAGAAATCTCTCACTCAATCTTTCTTGTCACGAATGGCCACCTACCTAATAAAGTCCAGATCCATCCTATTGGATCTCTGTGAAGTCTTTACATTGAGAGGCCAAGGAATAGTTTTTATAAACTCAGACTTTGTATCTTACCATCTTTATGGGTAAATTATTTACGCTTCCATTCCATATGTAAAACAGACAACAAAGTGACTGATTTCTGAAAACTTCAGCCTCAGACACTCAGCAGCTGGTGATGACACTGCAGGACAGTGCTGAGTACACCAAGGTCTCCCAACCTCTTTCCAATTTCAACCTGAGGCAGAGGTGGCACGGCATTCAGACCCTCAAAGCCTAGGACTACGACATGATGGCATGGCATTCAGACCTGCAGAGCCCCTGTAAACACAGGAAAACCCATACTGAAATTACAGCAAAAGCCCAGGCTCTACACACGAAGTTGATCTCCGGAAACTACAAAACAATAGAAGTTGCTTTAAATTTTTAAGTCCCAATGAATGGAATAAAAGGGTCTGCCTTCCCTGATTAGGAATGCAACTACTCCTATTTCCTCAAACTGGAACCAGCCAAACCTGCAGTCTCCATGAGAAACTCTAAAATGAGAAGGAAAAAAAAAAAAAAAAGGAAAAATGAGCTAAAATCAAGAAGCAACTTTTTATTCTTTCTGTCAACTAATATGATGAATACCTACAAATTATGTAAAACTCCTCAGCCTACATTCCATCACCCACAAAAGGTGGAGATCGGCCTGGGTGCACCTGCTGCATTACTGCAAGATCTAACATTGATGGGCTGGGTGGCGCACACCTTTAATCCCAGCACTTGGAGGCAGAGGCAGGAGGAGCTCTGTGAGTTCTACAGGACAACCAGGACTGTTACATAGAGCAACCCTGTCTCAGAAAACAAAACAAAGACCTAGCATTCTGTTACAATGGCATTCAAAACAAACCCAAAACCTAAACTGAATCTTTTTCCCAAGCAAGATTTCCTTCAAGCTCATGCTTTTCCTGTCAACAAAACTGGTGAATGAACAAATGACTGAGTGAGTGAATGAATGAATGAATGAATGAATGAAAACTTATAAATTATGAAGCCTTTTCTTTATTAACAACTTCATTCTCCCTCAGAGTATCCTCCGGGTAAATCATGTAACATAGGAATACAAAAATGGTGGAATTTTTCAAAGTTGTTTGATCAACATTTTAGGAGGAAAAGTTATATACGTCATACAGATTACAAAAGAACCTTCCATTCTCCCAAAATAAAAATAATTTTTCAGAAGATAGGGGCTGTAACTTTAAGGAGATAGTTCTTTACCTCCCAAGTCCTCCCTGGTCAATATCAT